TATTTATACAAACACTGGGTACAGTCAGAAGCACGGGAGGGTGAGAGAATTCACCAGAGCCAGAGCGGGGAGCAGAACAGGCAGACTGATGAAGTACACTGAGGGAGCAGTGGGTGGGTGCAGCAGGAGAGGTCTGCGCACCATGTGGGACCCTTGGTGGTGGCCAGGAATCGGACCAGCGCTGCAGAGGCTGCAGGCAGCTTCGCAGCCCAGCGCTAACCGCTGCGCCACTGGGGAGGCTCTGAAGGCTTTTTCTGTGCCTTTGTGTCCATTGGCATTTTTGGACTGTCGGCTTCTTCAGCTCCAAGTCTGGGATACATCAGCCAAAAATAAAAACAAAAACAAAAAAATAGGGAACTCAACATCATGCCACACTTTGAGTCCTAATGTCCCTAACTTTCCTTCTTCTATTTTTTGGAGTCTTCCTATGCGTTTTATGTAACAATGCCAGGGTATTTTACTGTATGAAGGGGGCAAAATAGGGGAAAGTATTTATACTTTTTAGGTGATGAATTCTGAGAAGAGATACTTTGGAAGAAATTTCCACACCTCATAGGTTCACACTCAGTTCTCCAAGTTTGAAATGACCAGTTCTTTAAGAGGAATTTCTTGAAATCTTTCTTGCGTCAATGTTTAAACAGAACAGGTTTCCACTACATGATACTGAAAGACAGTATTATAACTTGAGGAAGTCTTGTGAGATTACTTTCAACTCTTTATTTGCATGGATGTTAATGTAACTCCCAGTATGTTATAAATGTCACTTTGGTATTTAGTTGTTCAACTAAAGGTCTTCCATGTAGGTAACATTTCCATTCAAAGTGATAATTTTAAAAGCAGTTTTGAGCATATTTTATTGCCTTTTATTTCTTTCAAAGAGCAAGTCATTCTAATCCTAGAATAAAAAATGCTAAATCTCCTGAGATTGCACCAATGAATATCCCAAGTGTTCATTGTTTGGCTTCTTGGGTTTAACATATTTTTAAACAAAATCATAGATATTCAAATATAGATTCTGGCAGTTTGAGATGGCATGTCAATATGAGGATTTTCCATGGGGACTCCTGGACACTCATAGAATTACTAGGTTACAGCAGTAAACATAGTAGGCATAGTTTTTCAATAGTCAAAACAAAGTATGATCCATCTAGCATATTTTACATAATAAGTAATCAGGAATAATACAAAACAGTTGGCTAATATTGCTTAACTATTTAAGTGTACCATATGTGATAGAATATAGCCAAATGGTAATTTAGTTATTTCCATGAAAATATAAATTCCAACACTGGAAAAGCATATGATCTACTTGTGAACTTTGAGTCTATATATGTGATTGGATATTGTGATGAAAATTTCAGTTTATTACATATAATCAATTATGAAAAAGTAAAGGGTTATTCAAATATTCTGGGAAGGAATAATTGTCTCTTCCAAGTGAAGCAATCAATCATTCAAAAGGATTGCTAAGAAATGTGTTGTCCACTGTTGCTCGGAACATTTATACTGTTTAATTCAGTTGTTGAAAACATGAGCCTCCTGGGCCAGTTCTGACTCTTGGTGTACATTGAGTTGCTGCTTGACTCCATAGTTGTGGATTACACACCTATCTGAGACTGTCCCTTGTGTAATGCAGCTTGTGAAAACCAGATGAGAAAATACATTTAAATAACTGGAAAATCTAAATTATTTACCCAGATATTGAATCAGTAGCATTCATTTTCTTTACTACAGAAAAAAAATAAATAATTAAATTGAGTAGCTGAGACATGTGTAAGTGATAAACACAGTGACAGAATGAATCAAGTCACTAGTCCTGATCTGTTTTGGGCATTTGCTTCTAGGACAGAGCCACTTGTGTGGGATAGTGTTGGATTAAGTCAGTATCCAAAATTGTAATATTATCTTTCTTAAAACTTTCTTCCAGAGTCAATACGTATGTTTTTACTTTACCTAGCCTGCTTGGCCATAATAACAGTTTAATATGGTTTGAGCACCTCATATGTGCAAGACATTGTGCTCTTCGCTATAGGAATAGCAGGGATGACGGACAGACAGAAGTTAATTTCACAAGTCCTAATAACTCAATCTCCAAACCACCCACCTCCCCATATATGATGCTGACCCTAGAAGGGGAGTTATCTGTCATTCTAAAACATAAAGTGGAGAGGGTCCCGGGAAATATGGGACTTCATCTGCACCAAGGGGAGAGACTGCATACCAGCTGAGGTTGTCTGGTTGAAGTTATAGAGATTGTCTGGTTGAAGGGAAGAAGCACAACTCTTTTTTTCTTAAAAGCAATCTTTCTTTAAAAGATTCATTGAATCATAAAATTTGCATGTAAATAGATTTAATGGCATCAGGGAATTCCTACTCAAAGAATTCAAAGCACCTGGAGAGATGGTGTCCTCAACTTAGGTGTGGTCTAAACCCATGGGGTAAGACCTGTAGGCCTGAGAATCTATTTGTTGCTATGGCACTTTCCCAAGTGAATAAATGTGCAGGGGGAGAATCATAAACAGATCTTGGAAGGAAAAGGGAAAAGGAAAGGGGAAGGACTCAAATTTTGATCTTATTTCAATGTGCAAATCTCAAGGGAAATGTCCTGGTGGTATGGAGATCTTAACGGAAGTATTAAATCCTCCTAGTAAGACTTTGTGGACAAGGTCAATAGTACTTGCTTTCACAGTTACCTCTCTTACATGTGACCACGGTGAAGTTCTCTGGCAATTCTAGGTGTAAAATGCAGTCAAATATTATTTACATTTTGAATAAATCACTTGAGCACTTATTTATTTTGTATTAGTCAAACTTCCTGAAAATATTCAGAAAACCTGAGCTTTTTCTCTTTCTACATCAGTATGCATCTCACCCTCCCACCCAAATGGAGCAAAAACTCTGTTCTGACTAAATAATGTCCTCCCCACTCTTATTAGCAAAAGCGTCAGTGGGGAAGACTAGTTCTACACGGCATGATCATCAACACGGACTTCCACAGACTGTGTCGCTTGGCTTGTTCGTGCCTGTGTGAGCAGCCAAAGACCTGCAGGTGCTCTGTGTGCACCATATGTCTTGGCTTCTGAGGGGAGACTCTCAGCTTTTTCCATCCGAACCCCTAGCACTTCTGAGATGAGTCCCTGACTGTGCTGCCTGCTGCTTCTCAGGCACAGAACCTCTGCACCTTGTCCTTTGGGGAGTCATGTCTGGGTATTTGGCAGGTTGTTTGTTTTTCTTTTAAATCAAAGGATGCAAACAATCGCCTGGACCAAAAACATCAAGCAGATTTTTTTTTTTTGTTTGGACTGAACTGTGTTTTTGTGATTACTTTTTGAGAGTCTGAACCTCTGAGGAGATTATAGGTATATATACATATATATATATATATATATATATATATATATGTATATATACCTACCGTCCTGGTCACCGCAGTTTTTGCCAGTGACTGTGACCTTGACGCCTATCTCTGCTTCTGTCACCTGCATTGACCGTCTAACCCCTCCTGTGGATGCACCGCATTTGCTTACATTCATCCCTTGAAGACTATCTTTCTTGTGTTCTATTTTTGGGGGTTAAGATAAAGATGCCATAAACATGCTTTTGCACTTTATTGAAGCTTTATTATATCATTGTTGCCATTGTTTTCTTGTGGCTCTCTACCCCACTTCAGCTACACTGCTTTAATAAGGACAGCCCATCATTAATCAGACTTTTCCTTCTGCCTTTCTGGGTTGGTGTGTTCCTAAGTTTTATGCTTTCCCTTTTCTTTGCTTTGTGGGATTTTATCCTCCAGTAGCTTCCTAAGAGAGGGTTTACAGGAATGCATTTTTTCCAATATGTCAGGGTCTGAAATATCATTGTTCTTTTACTCTCACATAAAATTTCTAATTTATCTGTGAATCTTAATGAATTCAAATGTACATATGGCTTATTGTATTGCTGTTGAGGATTCCACTAGTGTTCATGTATCTGATACTTTGTAGTCTCTTATTTTCCCTCATGGTGAGTTTTTAGTATGTCTCCTAATAATTAGTGTTTTGAAATATTCCTCTAATATGTTTTTGGGGGAGGTTCATTGATGAAAGGACCTTTTAATGAGAGCCCATGATAATCACAATGCATTTCTGGAAAAAAATATTGCTGCATTCTTTCTTCAATCATTCCTTTCTTTTCTGACTTAACACTCTACCTTCTGTAGGTCTGGAACTTGATTCCATCTGTAATTCTATTTGAATTTGCTCATTGCCCTTTAGTATTCTGTCCAGACTGTTCACTTGAAACTTCTACTATTCTGTTAATTCACTTACTATTCTATCAGTCTACCATCTTCAAACTTTTGTTGCAATATCTTGTCAGCTGTTATCTTTCCTCCTTTTCTTTTTTAGTTAGAATTTCATAAATAGTCTTACCATCATTATAATGAGCCCTCAGGGATGGGAAGAAATAAGCACATATAGTCAAATTACTGTGTTTAACTAAAAATATAGGACTGACTCTGATCTTTTCCTCCTGCTTTCATGATCACCATCCTTTTTATTTCTCTGGATGCAAGCATTCCTATTAAGTGAAGTTAAACATGATCTTTGTCAATTACACCGCATAATAATATGAATGACTTTAAATTGAATAATGACTGTTTTTGGCAATGAATGAACTCGACTGAATCATGAGACAGCGTTTGATGTAATTATTTAATTAATGGAAATGAAGTATTGCAATATTGAGGGACTTGAATACATGTTGAAGGATACTGTGGATAAGAGCTATGGCTCAAAGCCAACTCAGTGCAATTCACATTGCAAATAATGAAATGATGAATTTTCATTGCTTTACCCTCTTTTTCCTACTCTAAGCTTTGCATCCTGATTGAAGCAAAGACATCTGTCTTTTCCGGATAGCAAGAACTTTGGTTGCTGTGGCAACATGTGTGACTAGGGAACTTAAAATAAAGGTGGCTCATTTCCAAATCTTTTTTTTTTTCTTTTTCTTTACAAAAACAGCACACATTGGCAAGAAAACTCTACTGGAATCTTTATAATCAATAAACCTGTTGTTTGCTGAAGGATTATATCCCAAAACTTGCATGTTAAACAGGTGAGTAAGTGCACATTTGGCTTTGATATACTTTTAAGCTATGAAATACTGCATTACCTCATTTTAAAGGTTTTTCTTCCTTCCTTCCTCTCTCCCTCCCTCCCTTCCTTACTCACTCCCTTGTTCCCTTCCTTATTACTCCCCCCACCACTTCTTCTTCTTTTTTTTTTTTTTAATTGGGATGGTAAGGACTTGGGTGCCTGTAGAAGGAGGAGGGGCAAAGGCAGTGAAAGAAACTCTTCAAAGGCTTTTACTAAAGCAGAGTCTGGTTGCTAAGGCTTGAAAAGATTGTTATTTGTAGCTAACACAAAGTTATTCCAAAACGCACTCAGCCTTAGAAGCAAACAAGTTTTAAATTTTCAGGAGAGGCATGGATTGAATCTTCCAACATATGAAAATAATCTTTTGATACTTAGGGATGCATATATATTTGTGCATTAAATTTCATGAAATGTGGGGTGGGGGAGAGGATTTTGAAAAAATAATTCTTTTTTAAAAGACATCTTAAAACCTCATATGTTTAAAAATGCTTTAAGTTCTACAGTATTATTTCTAAAATTCATTTTCTTTTGAGTCTTGCTATAAAGTTGGGTTCATCAGCAGCAAACATTTGTGACAGGAAAATGAAATGTGTGATTGCACTTTGTTTTTACTTATGGACTCTTTTCCAAACATAAACCTTTATATTCTGCTCCTTTCACATTTGTTTCACAAACTTATAAAAAGTGAATGATATTTGATGAGTATACCATATATGTGATTCTATTACTATACTTTTAATAACTAAATAATTGCTTCATAGTTTGCTGTTGGACTGGACAGAGATAAGTTGAATAGAATTAGTAATTTTAACTTTAAATTCAATAAGCAAGGGAAATAAAGGTGATGGTATCTTGATTAACAGCTGGTTATATTATTTGATATAGATATTTAGTTTTCAATCTATTGGCCTAGAATAATATAATTTAATAACTTTTTGAGAGCATGTAAATTTAAAAATTGTCATTTTGGAGTAACGACTGAATATTATTCCCTTCCGCTTCTCTGGTTAAGTATAAACTGTCATAATACAATAAAGGGTATATGATTTTTGGGGGTTGGGATTGTTTAAGGTAAGGAAAAATAGGGACATTCTTCCTTCGTGCTGAGAAGTATAGAATCCTGCATTCACAACCTTATCTTAAACCACTGAAACATTTTTTCACTCATACAGTCTCTTTATGAATATAAATAATGACAACCAAAGAAAATTTCCTCTACAGTAAATCTTAGTGGATGCAGAGAAAGGGTATTATGGTAACATTGATGCCTTAACTGTTTCTATCATTGGAAGAATTAAGTACAATGCCTTGAAGAACAAGGATACTTTGGTGATGGTAAAGTGAGTGTTTGCAACAAAGAGAAAAATTGACTAGTCATCACTGGTTTTGCTTTTCTGTCCTTCTTTTCCTCTTATCTTCCCTCCTTCCTCTTTACGTTCTGTCCCACAGGTCCACTCTTTTGTTTTCCCTGAATAGGTCTATAATACTCAGGTTGTCTAGATTTATTACTTCCCTAGTCACCTCACTCTTTAAATTAATCTAAATTTTATATTTTGTCTTCTTGCTTTATGTTATTAGATAAGGGACCAGGCTGATAAAGTGAGTTTCCTGAGGAACACTAGGGAGCTAAGTCAGGGGACTTACTCATGAGTCATACGAGTACGAGCAAATATATTACACTGGTTGGGGGTCCAGATGGTCAGAGGTATTTTGAAAGTGCTGAAATCATTCTATTAAGACAATTTTGAATGCTAGATACTGTGCTAATTATTTGCCCTTCATTATATAGAAGGCTATCTGGTATTTTAATGGCAAACATGTTCCCAGGGTTCTGTACCCCGTAAGTTAAGAAGTAAGATGTGCAGGGGAGCACTATAATTTTTCCACAAGTAGAAATCAGTATCTTCTAAATCCATGAGAAGGAAGGTAGCAGATCAGTGAGTTGTAGATGGAATGTTTTATGGAGAATCAAGGAAACTCAAAATATGGGAGTCATCTGCTCAGTAACTACTAATCACTCATTGCAGGTAAATATTAAGTATTTTAACCTGTCTATGCTATAAAGGATAAAAAAAAAAAGAATTAACTGTCTCTTAAAGAAACCAAACTCTCGTAGCATTAGAATTTGACCATGTTACCAAAAAACCAGTCTAGAGTGTGGCAGAAACATTGACTGAGAGAATAAATTGTTCTAGAGACTGCAAAAGGCACCAGAGCGGACACTGTCATTTCCCCTCTGCACCCTCCTGGGACTAATGGGGATGGTAATTGACCAGGACTACATCTGAGTAATGTCAATTCAAACCAGGTTCTGCCACTTGAAATTCCCCTAAATGTTTTTAATGTTCCAAGAAGCTTTCTGTAAAAAGAAATGCTTACATTTCCTTTGTAAACTGGGGTAAATACATGGAGAGCCAAAAAGAGGAGATCATTCACCTGCCAAAAACACTTGAACACATCAACCCGGTTAATCTATGAATAAATTACATTACAGAAAGTTTACTTTCAAATTCAGTCACACCCTCTCATACACACATGCACACACAATGGAGGGCAAGTAGAAATAAGAAAACATGGCACTCATTAAGAAACAACCCTGGAAAGTTATACTAACAAAATGAAAATAGAGCCATATATAAATGTTAAGATAGATTGGAGAAATTGAGAGGCTAAGCATAGACGACTGGTCATGCATAAATGAGAATGACCTATAGCCCATCTCTCTTTTTTTCTCACTACCTGTAATTAAAAATTTCCAATTATCACATAGGGAAAAAACAAAGAAACATTGTTTAAAAATCAGCAATGATGTAAAATATAAATAAATAAATACATAATTCAAATTATCTCAGTCATATCCTGGAGTTAATAGTAGTGAGATTATATTGGTGTAAATGGGAAATATGAATATTCAAAATATTTTATAAAAATGAGCTCTAAAAGGAGAAAATAGTTAATTAAACCATGTTGGTAAGGTGTATGATAACATCTTTGTCAGATTTTGGTATCTTCACAAGATAAAGTTAGAAAGTGTCCCTGAGTCATTTAATTTTTGGAGGAGTTCAGATGAAATTGGTCCATTTCATTCTTAAAGATTTCCTCAGATTCACCAATTAAACCATCTTAGACTGGAGTTATCTTTGTAGTATGGTTTATAATTACAGTTTCCATATATTTAATAAATATGGGATAATCAGAGTTTCTCTTTTTGTCTCAATTAAGTTGTATTGTTAGTGATATTATCTGTTTTGTCAGTTTTCAAAATAATTGGCATAAAATTGTTCATCAGATACTCCTTTGAGACTTCTATTGTCATTTGATAGTAACATTGCTTCTGTTCATGCTGACATTAGTAATTTGTGCGTTCTCTATAAGATAAATCTAGATAGTGATTCATTTGTTTTATTAATCTTAAGCAATTTTAGACTTTGTTCTGTTGTCTGTTTTTATTGCATTGATTTGTGATCTCTTTTTTTGTATTCTATTGGAATTTTATTTTTCTGTTTCTGGATTACTTTTCTTAGCAACTTAAAAATTATATCCTTAGTTAAAATTGACATAAAATATGAAAAAGATAGTCTATTTCATAGTAAGTTGATGAGAAATACTTGAAAGAATTGAGAAAAGTCTAGATAAAGGGGAACAGTTATTATATACAGTTCTTGTCGATATATGTTTGATTCCTAAATCATAAGATTAGTATCAGTTATATATGGAGATTCAGAAACCATACTTGAAGTTTGCAACAAGAATCCAGCAATATGTGGAGGGATGTTAGTGACTTGGTGGTAGGTATAATGTGGCAATGCATACTTGAAGAAATATGAACCTGTTCTTCCAAAATAGAGCATTCTAAACTAATGTTACTGCAACAAAATTTAGAAAAGAATCCAACAATACCTTAAAATCTATTAAGAACAAGTTATGCCAATCATTGGGATACATATATGGCTTCACATTAAAAAAAAAAATCAAAACCCTAAAATTTAACTCTTGACATGAACAGAACAAAATACCAAATACAACATTCTCAAAAATGAGAATATTTGATAAATTCCATATGCATTTATATTACTATTATTACCATTAATTAAAAAAATCTCTCCAAGTTAAAACTAAGCAGAATTCTTCTTCTACTATATAAGCATAAATAATAAACACTTATAGTAAAATTTATACTTAGTGGGGAAATGAGAGAAACCTCTATGTAGAGTAAATAACACTCCAGACTAAGAAAATCAAAGAATGTAAAAATAAAGATAAGCATATAAAAAGGAGACAATACAAATGACATTCGTTACAAAGGAAAGAGTTATCTTAAATAAATAAAAACACCCTCAATAATCTACCACTTTTTATTAATGCTAATAATAACATACAAGATGTCTTAGTTTTGTTCTCTGAAGAGAGGAGCCTGAGGCAAGGATTAAAGAAAGAACCCAGGTTGTTTAGACAATGCAATCCAAAAGCAGTGACTTGTGGCAAGGAAAAATGAGTAGGAATGGAGTGTGTTGCATTGTTTTGCAATCACTGTGAAGTCAGAGCAGTTCCCTCAACAGGCGTGTGGTAATTGAGAATTCTCTGAAAGGGCTGCAAAGAGTAGTTAATACAAGGGGGAAGTGAGAGATTTATTTACTTTCCCTCAGGCCAAGTTTCCTACTAGTCCTTATTCATGCTTTCCTTTCCAAGACTGGACAGCCTAGTCATATTGGGGCTAGTCGGGAAGCCAGATAACATACGCAGGAATGCTGCATTTCCTCCAAGTCTAGAAGAAAAGGAGGGAATTGCCAGTGCCAAGGTATCAATTAATAGAGAGAAAGGAGACAATTAGAGAAATTCAAGAAAGCCCCTGAGAATGTTATTCTCTATGTAGAATATAGAGAATTACATACACAAAGTAAATTATTTTACACAAAATAAGTATAATTATATATTATACACAAAAATTATACACAATTA